CGGAGGTCTACAGTAATAGACTGGTGCCACTAGTTCTCTCCGACCACGACCCACCAGTTCTGTTTTTGTTCTCTCTAATCAACAGCTTGTATTATAATTACCGTTCTGGAAAAATTTTAGTATACAGGCCTGAGTCCTGACCAGATTGAACCTGATACTAACGACAAAATAAAGCTTTTATACCTTTGCCATATTGTAAGAAAGAAAGTCCATTTCAATCATGGTAATGCTTTTTGTAATTAATTGAAGGAACGTAGAAGAACCAACGGATGATAGGGAGTTCTATTTTTTTTGATATTAGAACATAAGCTTTTATGGTTGAAGTCACGATTAGAGATATCAAAATCCGATCTGGTATAGTTCAAGTAAACGATATAGTGCAACCTACCTTCTAACAGCTCCCCTTTAATAATATAGTTAGGAAGCTAACTGATTTCGTTATTCAGTAATCATTTCAGATTATATAAGAATCACAATAACTATCAAACTATACCCATCCAAATTTGGGATCAATGTGTTTTCAAACCATTTCTCGAAAATATTAGCTTCCATTTTCTACTGACAGTCAACATTGCAGTCCTCAAGTTTTTTCCACACAATTCCAAAGAATTCGAAACCCGTCCTTCATTTCCTCCACAATGCACAAATATTAGTCGCGATCCTTCGTTTGCAGGCATGTTAGGCGTACACATTCTCGAACCATCAGTTCAACCTTGCGTTACTGTGTTGTGAATATCATACTGAGTTTCGTCCAAATATAAAATTTGCCGTTGTTCTTAATAACAGATAACAAAAATTTTAAGCAATTATAACTCCACCAATATCGAATTTCAACACTCAAATCGCAATCAGTTCCTGAACTGAACATTGACTTCAAATTTGACTTTATGACTCTTCAGCCAATCATAAAACTCGGTTAGCAAAAATTATCCAATACGAACCGCCAATTCTACAGTCCACGTGGACTAGTTCGCAGCGGGTTAATTTCCATGTATTGGTTTTTTTGTCCTTTGAGAGTGCCGCCAACATCAAGTGTGCACAATATCGTTTACTTCAACTACTAGCCCGGAGGTCTACAGTAGTAGACTGGTGCCACTAGTTCTTTCCGACCACGACCCACCAGTTCTGTTTTCGTTCTCTCTAATCAACAGTTTGTATTATAATTACCGTTCTGGAAAAATTTTAGTATACAGGCCTGAGTCCTGACCAGATTGAACCTGATACTAACGACAAAATAAAGCTTTTATTGAATTTGGCAAGCAGCGATTTCCCGGAAAATGCTTTCAATGTTTCTTATGTAAATTGTTCTGACAATTTGGCATTGTATGTAGTCGGTAAAATATACGATACAACATTAACTTCTAGATATTTATAAAATCATAGAAAAATAAAAGATTTGCTGACTCCACGGCTTTCAAACATTGGTTTTCTGTAAGATTTTTGCAGGAACATAAAAATCAGTACTATTTTCAGATTTCTGATACCGTTGAAAGATAGCTAATTTGTTGATTTGTAAAAATTTTCAATTCTTCTAAGGATATTCAGTTCTCTTATTAATATCTGTCATAAGCTTATAACTAACAATAATGGCCTTTAAAAAAATTAATTTGAATAGAAATATGTTCAAAACTACCAATTTTCATTTCGATATAATTGAGTAATTTGAGATTTTTCAAAGTGCATACACGTGGCTGATAAATCAAGAAAGCAGTCATATTTCGTGTAAATAATTTATTTGTAAAGTGCAAAGCGCTTTCGACTTTTACGCCATCATCAGTGAGATACCTGCAAGTGAGTAATAGTCGTAAAATTTGTTTGAAGTTGAACTTTAATTTTTTTTAATTACTTTCCTGTCAAGTATTTACAAGAAGATCCTGTAGAATTAAAGTACACAAACCTCAGTACAACACTACTCTGAGTAGACATGAACATCAACATTACAATAAAATCCCTTTTGGGTTTGATATATTAATATGTTGTTTGGAAACTATAAAATTATTTCCAGCGTGCTCAATGACGAGTACGAGGAGGAAAAGAAAGTGAAAATTTGACATAGACATAAGGTCATTGTTGTTAGCCAATATCATCATAAATTCAATTCGTACGGTCAAGAACAAAAGAACAAAATTTCACTTATCCCATTATTGAAGAACATTCTAAATATTTAACGTTGCCTTTTTTAAATGAAAATATCTCCCAGAAAGTCTCCAGTCTGATAAGCAATAAAATAAAAAATGCTGAAATTTCTTCCAAAACTTCAAATAACTCAAGTAAACATCTAGTCAACTCCAAAGACGAAATCAATGAGTTATCGAAAAGTGGAATTCACAAACTCAGTTGCAATTATTGTGAAGTTTCATACATTGAAAGGACTTGTAGACCGTTGAAAGTTCTAATAAACGAACACTTGAATAAACCAGACAAATCAGCTTTTGGTCAACATATCATTTTCAATCAACATAAAGTTTTTCAAATTCACTCCGAAAAGTATTCAAATTGATGTTTCAAATATTGGGTTTTAATTCTTGAAGGGATTTGTTTCTAATTGACATATTGGCAACAGCGCCTATATCAAGTTGAAATAACTTATACGTACCTAAATATTTAAAAAAGGAAAATTATCTTTATAAATCAACAATTAGGGCAAAATATAAATTATAGTTCAATACCAGCTCCTCAAGCCACATAAACAAGAGTTCTTTTGTTATTTATTTATATAGAGGAAGATAGGTTAGGTGCACAAAATGTCATATCACAGAATGTCTCGGAACTCGTAACATAAGTAAACAGAACAGAACGCCAAGTTTAAAATGCGTTGTTTTAGAGCTCTTTTATGAAAACTACTTTATTTTCGTCAGGAGGAACATTCCCCATTGAACCCTTTTTCCATCACGTGTGTCACATCAGTTTGTGAGGCCGCGTGCATGTTTCCGCGCGATAATTCTTAAGATATTAATTTAAATTGTATGGTTAATGGGCAATTATAATATGCAAGCAGGAAAAACTGTAAGAAGAAAATGCTAGCAAAGTAAATTCTTCATTGATAAATGCTTGTTTCTACTAAGGATATACGAAGAGTTTGTTGCCATATCGAAGCACTATCCACCAATGCACCATAGAAGCCCTTAGAAATAGTCCGACACCAAAGTATAATAATGACTTGAATTGGAATTGAAAACAATTGCACTCAGTTTAAAGTGATAACCGACGTGAACAATATTTTTGGCAATGTAAATATCCTTCATATGGAGTTGAAATTTGAAGACTGTCGACTGCAAAGTTGAATTTCTCAGAACAGCACAACATAAAAACTTCTGTTGCAATTTCAACACAAAACATAATATATTTGTAGAGAATCTCTAATAACGTACAATAGGATCCAGACACGATGCATATCGAGTTTTGGAGTACCTATGAACTTTAGATGTGAGGTTCTCCTGGAATGTAAATATCTGTGGTATTTGTTGATGATTATTCTACAAGAAAAGCCGAACCATTTGTTGAACAGTCTATTCGTAGAGCTCTTATATGAGTCAGATTCATTTAGTACGGAATTTCTATATAACTTGGTTAAAATCTATCGCAGAGCTGACACCCGAGTCTCTCAACTCACTTGACGTTGGTAGATCCATCAATAGTACGTCGCGTATTCTTTTCGATTTCAATGAAATTGCTACTATTCAAGATGATGATTCGAGTCAAATTGAAAATGTTTCATTTTACCAAAGAGTTTTGATTGAGATTTCTAAATATCATGTATAATTTTTTCGTAATCAAGCTTGAATTGAAGGACTGTTGTCTTATTTCCGTAGGGTTATGTGAATCGATGAAGTGTGGCATTTTTTTCTCATTTCGGTCTCTTGTGTCTGTTGATTGCTTTGGTTAGTTTAATTTGATATTCATATCCATTCGAGTTGTCTTAGTAGAGTATTGTACAGTCACTGTCATAATCATAATTTTAATTTAAACCTGTGAATTTTTGTAGAAGCGTATGTGCAAAGTTTAAATATTCAGTAGAAAACATATATTCCATTTCATTGGTTTAATTTGATTAGAACAGTGGCAGTTTCGAAAATGTGAGAATGATGCATAACTACTAAAAGGCCTCAAGAGTTACGTATGATTCAAGAATAACACCTAGATGTTGATTTCATAAGTTTCAGTTTTTGAGTTGTTGGAAAAAAAGCTGTAAAACTTTGTTATGTTGACCTATACTTTGATTTTGAAATCAATTTGTAGGATTGAAGAAAATAATTCACCATATGTTAGGAGGATGATTAGGATTGTAACAGTTATTGGTTTTTGAAAAAGGAAATATGAAATTACTATGTAGGATTTTTACAAATCATAATTTTAATTTAAACCTGTGAATTTTTGTAGAAGCGTATGTGCAAAGTTTAAATATTCAGTAGAAAACATATATTCCATTTCATTGGTTCAATTTGATTAGGACAGTGGCAGTGTTGAAAATGTGAGAATGATGCATAACTACTAAAAGGCCTTGAGAGTTACGTATGATTCAAGAATAACACCTAGATGTTGATTTCATAATTTTCAAACTTTGTTATGTTGACCTATACTTTGATTTTGAAATCAATTTGTAGGATTGAAGAAAATAATTCACCAGATGTTAGGAGGATGATTAGGATTGTAACAGTTATTAGTTTTTGAAAAAGGAAATATGAAATTACTATGTAGGATTTTTACGGAACGAATGATGTTTAAAATATCTTCGATTCCACATAATCATATTGATAAAAAGTAACAGTAAACAAACAATTTGCATGTGAGACAGGTACATTTTGATTATTTCACTATTTTGTACTTTTATCATTCTCACTGAATATTGAAGTTGGTTCACCTGATAATAAGGAATAATGAAGATATTTAATGTTTCATCAAGATTATACCAACCGTTTCAACAATTGCAATATTCTTGATGACAGTATTAAACAAAGGCAAGCATGTTTACACTCTCCCAAACTCAAACGCGTACTCACCTTGGTACTCTCCGCCATAGTCTGCTCAAGACGCACCAGGAGTTCCCGTTTCTCCACTACCTCGGTGTGGAAGGTCTGCCAATTTCTCGTGACAAGCAGCTGTCTTCCGGACAGCCGTTCCAGCACCGACTCTACGCACAGACAGGCCCGGTTCGTATCCAGATGAGGTTCAGACACCTACAGATAAATATAGAACTAAAGAAACGGATCTGAGTTTTCGATACAGTTCTAATAGCGAGGGGAAAATTGTGCGCGACAATAAGTTTAACGGGGTCGTAAACAATGCTGTATACAGGGCGGGATCGCTAACTATTCTGATAATAATAATGATGATAATAATAACTCGCTTCATCATAACATAACATGTGGTTAGACTGGAGTCCAAACAAAGTGGGTCACTTTCACGAGGGGTGTATTTCAGGGTGATTTCTTCAGTCACTATTTGGTCTGCATTTTACTGTTGCATTATCCATTGCACTCAGAAATACTAGAGTATATAACTGAAGCACTTCCGGAAACCGGGGGCATAAGGTCACCCAGTTGTATCATATGGATGATCTCAAATTTCATGCCTCTGGAGGAAATAATTTCCAGCAGTCTTTGAGGTTAGAGGAAGAATATATGCATGCTATCGGTATGAAATTGTGGATAGACAACTGTACAACAGTCTATCTCAGAAGAGAGCAATGCGGGGAATCCCAAAGAAATACCACTCTTCTCCGAGGAAGACTTTGTACTGTTGAACCCCGCTTGCAGGACAGAAGTAGTGACAATACCCCTGAAAGTAGGTCAAGTGATACATGCTGATGTATGTGGTCCATGAAGGTGCCATTATCATGTTTTATTCAACGATACATAGCAGTTTATTTTTCGAAGTAAAAGTACGAGGTGAAGTTCAAGATAGAAATTTCTCAAGCAGAAGTCAAAACTATGGGCCACACTGTACAAAAACTTTTTACTGATGGTGGGCTAGAGCTGGTATTTATCATAGGATTGCTATGCCATATACACCGTAGCAAAATGGGGGTGCAGAACGTGAAAATCGCACAATACTGGAATCTGCCAAAACCATGCTACATGCTAAAAATCCTCCAGAAGAGCTGTGGGCAGAATCAGTCAATAGAGCACGTATATATTGAACAGAAGTGGAAAATCCCCGATTGAGTTATGGACAGGAAAAGATAGTTATGAGGAATATCTCAAGGTCTTTGGGATATATTATTTTGTCCACATACCCAAGGAAAAGAGAAAAAAATTTGCCAAGAGAAGCACGAAATGATCTTTAGTGGGATATATTGGTAATAAGGATGATCAGTTTGATCTTCCCCTTGAAGATGATCACTTGGTGATCGAAACACGTGTCGAGTTGTTAAAATAACGGTTTGGTGTTGGGAAAAAACTCCAGTAATATTCATTACCACACCCAAGGTTCCAAACAGTGCATCACAAGTGGTAATAAGGATGGTTATCGAATCTGAGCCCCAGAAAAGAATGACGTTATCTTGAGTAGAGATGTCATTTTCAAAAATGGGAAAATTGAAATCTGTTATCTGCAACTGTGCAGCTCGTAGATGGAAACATCCAGCGTCATCTGGATGCCGGAGAGTCGTATACTTACCACGAGGTGGAACAACGCCACTCAGTACAAACTCCGACAGATCTAGTCATCGGAACTGCCGGGAAAGACAAAAGTTGCTGCTTTCAATATTTTTGCCGTTTCAATTTTACTCTATTTGGGAGGAGCTGTATCAACTCGACCTAATGATGCGAAAAATTATGCATCTTCATAAGAGTTTGCATTCCAAATCGTTCGCTCCACGGTTGTACTTTCCCCGATAACGGAGAGGCCGCAGATATCACTTCACTCTTGCGGCAACACAAAAATGAGCTACTGCAACAATATTGTGGACTTCGGCTTATCAAAGCACCTGACTGGGTAGACTGAAGTGGGCTGAAGTCGGAAACTGAGGGATTCATCATGTCCTGCCAATTACCCTAATTACCCTAATGCATTCGCCAGCAGTATTCCAACATAGGCAATTTCAGCCTATATCGATCGACATAACGCGACTCTAAGAGTGCTTTATCATCTACAGCACTTTTACGGTATTACCGAGACACCGGTGTTACCCTACTCTCCAGATATCGAAGCCGTTGTGGAGAATGAGAAGTGTCGAATTCATTGGAACTATCCTTTTCCACTCTCAGGCTCATTCCAGCTGAAAAACCTGATGTAGTTCTTCTCGACCATCAGAGCAAGACGATATTTAGCGTGGAGTTTTCAACTCACGGTGATATGAATATCGTCCGAACAGAGAAGGAAAAACGGATGAAATATCGAGATCTTTTCCCCGACCTCCGCAGACTCTATCCAGACCACCTTGTCAAGATGACTGACAGAAATCTTATCGGGCAAATGCAGAAGGCTATCATTCTTGACTCATTGCATCCGCTCGGGGTACATTATTTTCGGACGCAATAATCACTTACTTCATGGTGTGACGAGTGGCATCTGTACCTGCAGGGAGGATGAGTGTAGGCCCACAGCACACAGGCCACACGTGACCCATTGTACATCCTCCCGAGGAGTTGTCCTCCTAGGTCATCGTCCTTCTTGTAATTTCCAGGAAGGTGGGCAGGTCACTAGGAGACATCTCCTTTATATCGGCAGATGTAGGCCAAGACTCGCCGAACATACACTCTCTTATTGACGATAATTCCGGACCCTCGCATAGGACATGCCTGACAGTTTCATCTTCCTGTTCACACATCCTGCATAGAGGTGTGTCCACTAGCCCCGTATTATGGAGATGTTTCCTTAGTTTACAGTGGTCATTTGTTGATAATACTGGCGCTCACTTCCGATTGTGTCAGAACTTTTGGATTAGGGTTTACCGAAGGGTAAGCTGGTCGGGCCCTTCACCATAATATCTGATCAGACTCAAAATAGAGAGTCTCACTTTCAGAAAGGATGTATTCAGGGCGTTTCCCTAAGTCCCCTTCTCTTCTGTATCTCACTTTTGCCATTATCCGTTGCGCTCAGAAATACTAACACTGGCCTCCCCGGTATATCAAAGCACCGGAATTTCGTTTTCCCCAGGTCGAGTGGACTGAGGTCGGAATCTGAAGGGTTCATCATGGCCTGCCAGAAAAATGTTTTCAACACCATAATCTACTGTATGTAATCGCATGATGTGTATAGAGATTCGTGACACCAGATGGAGGACCTGCCGCGAAGCATCTGCGGCACTTATACGGTTATTTTGACCAGACATCGGCAGATAAGTATATAATCATAATGATTAGTGAATTTTCAAAGAATTGGTCGATAAATCTGCCAAAAAGTACATATATTTGTGGGGATTTTTTAAATATTTGTAACACTGCAAAGATATCAATTTTTTATGTCCTCATAGATTTCGAATCTGTTAACACTTTTTTAGACAATGGTCGTCTGAAATTTTGACATTGCAATGATTGAAAATTTTATGAAAGAACCAAATAACGAACGAATTTAAATATCATCGATTTTATTAAATTACACATTTATAGACAATAATTACTGACCAGATCGAATTTATACTACAATTTTAGTATTTCCTAACAATCATCTTTATTTTTAGATGTTACTGTCTTCAGGCAAATAGCGTGCGAGTTTATTTTTCGAAGTAAAAGTCCGAGGTGAAGTTAAAGATAGAAATTTCTCAAGCAGAAGTCAGAACTATGGGCCACACTGTATAAGAACTTTTTACTGATGGGGGGTTAGAGCTGGTATTTATCATAGGATTGCTATGCCATATCCACCGGAGCAAAATGGGGGTGCAGAACGTGAAAATAGCACAATAGTGGAATCTGCCAAAACCATGCTACATGCTAAGAATCCTCCAGAAGAGCTGTGGGCAGAATCAGTCAATAGAGCACGTATATATTGAACAGAAGTGGAAAATCCCCGATTGAGTTATGGACAGGAAAATATAGTTATGAGGAATATCTCAAGGTCTTTGGAATATATTATTTTGTCCACATACCCAAGGAAAAGAGAAGAAAATTTGCCAAGAGAAGAACGAAATGATCTTTAGTGGGATATATTGGTAATAAGGATGATCAGTTTGATCTTCCCCTTGAAGATGATGATCGAAACACGTATCGAGGTGTTAAAATAACGGTTTGGTGTTGGGAAAAAAATCCAGTTATATTCATTACTACACCCAAGGTTCCAAACAGTGCATCACAAGTGGTAATAAGGATGGTTATCGAATCTGGGCCCCAGAAAAGAATGACGTTATCTTGAGTAGAGATGTCATTTTCAAAAATGGAAAAATTGAAATCTGTTATCTGCAACTGTGCAGCTCGTAGATGAAAACATCCAGCGTCATCTGGATGCCGGAGAGTCGTATACTTACCACGAGGTTGAACAACGCCACTCAGTACAAACTCCGACACTCAATACAAACTCCGACAGATCTAGTCATCGGAACTGCCGGGAAAGACAAAAGTTGCTGCTTTCAATATTCTTGCCGTTTCATTTTTACTCTACTTGGGAGGAGCTGTATCAACTCGACGTAATGATGCGAAAAATTATGCATCCTCATAAGAGTTTGCATTCCAAATCGTTCGCTCCACGGTTGTACTTTCCCCGATAACAGAGAGGCCGCAGATATCACTTCACTCTTGCGGCAACACAAGAATGAGCTACTGCATGGGGTCTTCTTCAACAATATTGTGGACTTCGGCTTATCAAAGCACCTGACTGGGGAGACTGAAGTGGGCTGAAGTCGGAAACAGAGGAATTCATCATGTCCTGCCAATTACCCTAATTACCCTAATGCATTCGCTAGCAGTATTCCAACATAGGCAATTTCAGCCTATATCGATCGACATAACGCGACTCTGAGAGTGCTTTATCATTTACGGCACTTTTACGGTATTAACGAGACACCGGTGTTGCCCTACGCTCCAGATATCGAATCCGTTGTGGGTAATGAGAAGTGTCGAATTCATTGGAACTATCATTTTCCACTCTCAGGCTCATTCCAGCTGAAAAACCTGATGTAGTTCTTCTCGACCATCAGAGCAAGACGATATTCATCGTGGAGTTTTCAAGTCGCGGTGATATGAATATCGTCCGAACAGAGAAGGAAAAACGGATGAAATATCGAGATCTTTTCCCCGACCACCGCAGACTCTATCCAGACCACTCCGTCAAGATGATTGTTCTAATTATTGAAGTATTTGGTAGAATGATGCCCTCCCCACTCTCAAGAGATCATTCCGGTTTGCGGTACGAAGACAGAAATCTTACCGGACAAATGCAGAAGGCTATCATTCTTGACTCATTTCATCCGCTCAGGGTACATTATTTTCGGACACAATGATCACTTACCTCATGGTGTGACGAGTGGCATCTGTATCTGCAGGGAGGATGAGTGTAGACCCACAGCACTTAGGCCACACGTGACCCATTGTACATCCTCCCGAGGAGTTGTCCTCCTAGGTCATCATCCATGCTGCCCTTTCCAGGAAGGTGGATAGGTCACTTGGAGACATCTCCTTTATATCGGCAGGTTTAGGTCATAACTCGCCGAACACACACTCTCTTATTGACGATAACTCCGGACACTCGCTTAGGAAATGCCTGTTCCTATTCATACACCCTGCATAGAGGTGTGTCCACTAGCCCCGTATTATAGAGATGTTTCCTGACAGTGGTCATTTGTTGATAATACTGGCGCTCACTCCCGATTGTGTCAGAACTTTTGGGATAGGGCTTACCAAACGGTAAGCTGGTCGGGCCCTTCACCATAACATCTGATCAGGGTAGACTCAAAATAGAGAGTCTCACTTTCAGAAAGGATGTATTCAGGGCGTTTTCCTAAGTCCCCTTGTCATCCGCATCTCACTTTTGCCATTATCCGTTGCGGTCAGAAATACTAACACTGGCCTCCCCGGTACATCAAAGCACCGGAATTTCGTTTTCCCCAGGTCAAGTGGACTGAGGTCGTAATCTGAGGCGTTCATCATGGCCTGCCAGAAAAATGTTTTCAACACCATAATCCACTGTATGTAGTCGCATGATGTGTATAGAAATTCGTGACACCAGGTGGAGGACCTGCCGCGAAGCATCTGCGGCACTTATACGGTTATTTTGACCAGACATCGGCAGATAAGTATATAATCATAATGATTAGTGAATTTTCAAAGAATTGGTCGATAAATCTGCCAAAAAGTACATATATTTGTGGGGATTTTTTAAATATTTGTAACACTGCAAAGATATCAATTTTTTATGTCCTCATAGATTTCGAATCTGTTAACACTTTTTTAGACAATGGTCGTCTGAAATTTTGACATTGCAATGATTGAAAATTTTATGAAAGAACCAAATAACGAACGAATTTAAATATCATCGATTTTATTAAATTACACATTTATAGACAATAATTACTGACCAGATCGAATTTATACTACAATTTTAGTATTTCCTAACAATCATCTTTATTTTTAGATGTTACTGTCTTCAGGCAAATAGCGTGCGTTGAAACTAAATCAAATATCAGAAATAGCTGCAGCTGGAGAGAGAATCTGCAATGTTACATGCAGATCCGGACTAAATTCATCGTATAAAATAATTCACCAGAAACTATCATTCAAAAAATTTTCTTTTGTTTCATCCACATGATTGGTTTAGGAATGGAATTATGGAAAAACATTATTTTTCACCGATGTTTAAAGTTCATTCTCGGAGTTCAAGGTATATTATTCTCATATTGAATGAACCATGAAAATATGTTAACATAAAGCACAACATCAACATGAAGGCAATTTAAGAACATAGCAATTGGATATTATGGCAAAGACTGACATATCTGAGATTGTTTATAATTTCTAACATTTCGCTAATTTTTCTGAATGGAAGTCCCCTTAGAAACTGTTAAACTGGTTGAGAATTACCGGTGTTGAAGCCAGATTAAAGTAGCACGTTCTATGTCTTTTGCGGTGTTTTTTTTGATATTCATCAGGTTACCCGTGTTTGCAACCCTCTATATCTGTAAAGTAGGGAGGGTGAGTCTAGGCCCATAGCACTTAGGCCACATCTGACTCATTGTACATCCTCCCAAGGAGTTGTCGTCCTAGCTCATCGTCCATCCTGTCCTTTCCAGGAAGGTGAAGAGGTATCTGGGAGACATCTTATTTATATCGGCAGGTGTAGGCCAAGACTCGCCGAATACACACTCTCTTATTGACGATGACTCCGGACATTCGCATAGAACATGCCTGACAGTTCCATATTCCTGTTCACACATCCTGCCAGAGGTGTGTCCACTAGCCCTATATTGTGAAGGTGTTTCCTTAGTTGACAGTGGCCAGTCAGTCAGAAATCCTACTGTTAAGCGAAGATTTTTTCTGGTCATCGCCAGATATTTCTTCGGCGCCATCTTCCCAGAGTCGCCCAGGATGATCCTGGCAAGATCCTTTGATTTCATCCCATCTCTTTGGGGATTGAGCACGGGTGTGACGTTTGGCTAGTTCCACAATTGTCGAAGTCATCAGGCTGTAGGTGCCACTGGGTCCAAAATATCTTAGTCCAGCCACTTCCATGGCTAAACAGTCGGTAATGCGATTATCTTTACTCCTGTTGTACCCTTCAACCCACCTCAGGCTGTGGCTGAATCTTGGTGGCACTGTAGTACTAGCCCTGAGTTAACACGTTGTCTGTTCAAGGCTAATAGGGCTTGTTTACTATCAGTGCAGGTTGTTGTGTTTTTGCCAGAAATCCCTTTCCTGGTTATTTCTTTTGTGGCAATTCAGATACCAGCCAGTTCTGTTTGTGTTTTCAACATTGTTTTGTTGTTGTTTTGTTGTTTTGTTACATTGGATATTCTTCTCCTTCTGGATTTTGATTTTTCATATCCAGCTTCCCACGAAAGACTTGGCAACTGTATTGGTGGCAGAGAATGAGTATGTAATATCTCATGAGTGGTGATGTCTGAAGAAGTTTCGCCAACATCCAGACATTTTTGGCGGCGATGAGCCTAGACAAAATGAGAGCTGCTTCGTTAACTGCTATGCTTTGATTGAGTGACTGGATTTCTTCACATTGACTCAGAATACAATTAATTCAGATAAAGTACTTTTGCACTGAAGTTAATTGAAGGACTCGTTGGTATTGGTAATGATTTACAGTATTTAGATTATTAAAACAAAGTGTCTGGGATCTGTGTGTTCGATAGATTTTGTGGCCATATATTTTGTGACGTTTTTTGACCACTAAAACGCCGATAAAAGAAAATTAATTCATGATACGCTGAATCTTAATGTGTTTCCAGTTTTCATGTAGTAGAGTGACATCGACGTATCAGTTTCTACCGGGCTATGTGGACTTCCTTGGCCATAACCGACGATCTGCTCATAACGTTCATTATTCCATTGAAAGAAGTTGTTACTCATGACGAATTAGAATACGCTTTGTTATGTTACTTAGAAAAAACCAGTACAGTACTTTCCTGGTTTCTAGAAGGTCAGGTTAATGAAAAAGAAGTTGATATGTGATTCAAAGCAAACTAGTATATCGATTGCAGACTTAGCTCCTCTATTATTTTTTTCTGGCATCCTCTGCTTTGGTCATTAGCTTCGTGTTCTGGATAGACAATGTTCATAACTCCCATTCGCATTCCGTCAGTTATCTAACGTTGTAGAATCATCCCAACTTCAGCTGGATGAATTCTTTTGAGAAAAATATCTGGTCGAGGTAGGGATCGAACTCACGACCTTCCGATCGTGAATCGTACGCACTACCGCTACACCAATTCACCGCTCTATTAGTATTATCAATGGTTCATTGGTCTATACATTCATTATGGACAGAAAAGATTTGTTTTATTATTCAATTTGTATGAACTCAACCACTTATAGAAAGCTATATTATCTAGTGATCAACACAGGCGAAACAAATATGAAAACTGCAAGGATGTAACCCAAAATATTGCGCTAGTATGAATAAAATTTGAAGAGTCGCGATGGAATAAAATATTGATAAACTTAGTTTGCTATTTCAGTAGCATCTATGGAAATGACGAATTCAATTTGGGATTCATAAAATCATCATAAATCCGCTTCCAAAATTAAAAATTTGACCTCAATTCCCAAGATGTGTTTTCATGTGGAAATGTCAGGATGTCGGTCAGCTGAAAATAATTTCAATTTCTTCAACAATCCATATCCAATAAACACTGTCAATTTATTCAACACTACCTTTTACTTGTAATTAAGCTTACTGAAGAGAAAGAAACTCCTCGTACTCCTGGAGTTGTCACCTACTTGTGCAGGTGAAACGAGAACTGGAAATTTTAAAATGATAACAGTGGATACTTACCAACTTTGCTTCATTGATAAACGTTAACCCAGTGTTTTTGGCGCACTGGTATAGAGGAACTATTGACTCGAATTTTTCCTCGATCAGTTTCATTGTATCCTCGTCGATATTGTCCTTGTGTTTTGATAGTAGAGATTCTAATCCGTCCATTTCTTTATTTACAATATCGGCCTCCATGTGGAACTTCACGTATATTCTAGCCAGTTCCATACGATTCTCCAGAATGTTCTTCAGCTTCATCCAACGTTCGTGTAGTTGTTCCACTTTCACGTCAACATCTTTTCGTTGGCCGTCTTCTAAGTATTCTAGAATTGGTGGCAGTGTTAGTAGCAAAGCGTTTATTTCATTCCCCTTCGTCTGAAAAACAAAGAAGAGAAACGATATGAGTCCAAAAGCAAATGAACTTACTCTATGCTAATTTTGCTATTCACTCTGTCATTCAACAACCTTATATCGTTTATACCTCAGAATCACTTTGAAATTATTTCACTTGTTTTACTGGTGTAGGTATTTCCGTTGCAATCAATGTCGCAACTGAAATAAATAATGAATATGAATTGGTATTTCAATTTCACACTGATCTTCAAATTTGCATTTCGAAACTGATTTTTCAGATTATATTGACGTTTCCTTTTTCCCTACCAAGCTTAATCGAGCAAAATGCTACAATCGAATATATAACATAATATTACTTTTAGGCGAATACTCAAGTCATTTACTTGATAAAATTTCGTAAATTATGGATTAGCACACGTTCTACTCAAATAAACTTGGTGCACTCGGAATATAATCTTCGAGTATTGAAGCGTCAGAGCAGTGAAATCCATCAAAGCTGTCAATTATTCAACAAGGATTTACCTATATCATGTCCATTTAACCTTCCACGAATAATAAAGTATGGTGGAATACCGTTGGGACAAGAAAATACACATAACCAGTTGCGTCTTCAATAAAATACTTTCATCTAGCATCTTTTTGTTTCTTAAAACGAAGACAAAACAGTTAACGTTTGACTTTAATTGAATGACAGCTTACACTCGATAGAGAGATAGATATACAAACGTAAGTGGTTGGCAATTTCTTGGATTTACGAGTACATTATATTCTATAGTGAAAAGTTTCTACCGGCTCAATTATTCCATATTCCATTTATAATTTGTGACTCAAAATGGTGGCTGGCTCTGTCTAATGGTATACATATTCAAATTGTCAAAGATGCGCTCATACTCAAAAATTATTGTCACTTCTCTGTAATTTCTGACAAAGATAACTTTTTCATTTCAAATAAAACACCTTGTATTTTTTTGCTCTGAATAATATATAATTCAATAATTTTCCATATCATTTCGAGGTTCCTTTACTAATTATTTTTTCAGATATTAGCTTTTTCAAATAGTAGATCTTATTTCAATGCATTCTTTGAATCAAGATAGCTTTGAAATGACATTCATTCGATTTGCTCACAGAATTCTCATTGACAGTTGTTATACTTCACTTCATCGAGAATATTCACTGTTTATTAAAATTAAGTTATCATTTACATTCATACTCTGAAAGTAGTTCATTAAACAGACTTGTTTTATTATTCAACTGAAACAAAAAAAAATATGAAACACAAATGTATTTAATCCAAAGAAGGTGCTCGAAATGACGACCATTCTGTTAAATACAAAGATCTACTTTCTCTATGAAAGACTTTAATAACATTTGAGGCGTCACTCAGAAAAACAGCCCTTATCCTCTCCTTCTTATTTTTCACTGAGGTTGGAGGAGTGTCGTAAATCTCATTCTTCATTGGAAAAAATCGAGGCAAGTCAAATCAGGTGATCTGGCTGGCCAATTTTGTGGTCCTCCCCTATCAATTGATTCATTTGGAAAGCACAAATTCATAAACTGTTTGACACTGAAGCTCCATTTAATTGTTACTACATCCATTGTCTGATATTTAGCGGCACCATTTTGAACCATTCAAGTTTCCATAAAAAAATCATGATGCTATAACTTATGAACCTACAATTCCTTCCCACACGTTAACAGACCATCTATTCTGGTGATCCAGAATGCGGAAAAAAGTGAGAATTCACATCACTATGATAATGGAAGTTGTGTCTGTTCACTGAAACGTATATTCATCAGAAAATTGAATGGAATCCAAAAATTGAAAACCAAAATTGTCCAGAACCCATAGACAAAACTCGATTCGTCGATGGAAGTCTATTTTATATAATTCCTGGCTCATTTTGGTCTATTTGCCTTTTCATAGGCTACCTTTCCAGTCCTATGAAATTCATGTAGCAATCCTTTGAAAACCAACTCGTTTGGATGATTCCGGTCTGGATTTTTTTGGGCATACACCCTTGACGCCAAAAGGCAATTCTCTGAACATTCACCAATCGCTAAAATCACATCTGACCGCGCTTGAATGGAATAAGTTTTCATTTTTATAATTCAGTTTCTAATTGTATCCATTTTCATAAAAAAAATCAATAACTCGAGAACGGTTATAGTACATGAATCTTTTATGAAATCATATTATTTTTTCCTGAACTATTCAAAAATGTGACGAAATACAGGGCGTTCTATTAAAAAAAAAACAATTTGGATATGTCACACTCTTCTGAGCCACCCTGTAGACTTCAAAATAATTTCCTTCTGCAGCCTTAATCAATATACATATAATGGAATGGAGAAATTTCCGAAAAAATATTGGTTTAGTTTACAGGGATCGTGTTGTATGGGGTGCCCCACCCTGTATTAATTCAACTTTTCCATTGTAAGCAATGGACTTTTTGATTTCACCGTAATTTTTCTAGGTGAATTTTTCAGTTTGCCCATTACACTTCAAAATTGTTCAGTTGGCCCATTATACTTCAAAAGATTCTCTGTTGATTTGTATTTGTTCATTTTTAAGACCGTGTGTGAAGAAGACAGAAAAAAAGGGACATAGAAAAATATAATTTCCTTTTTATCGGAATATCATGAATGTGCATTCATTATTCGAGTATTTAGCGATAATGAAAACGGATTTTTGTGGTGAGTAATGACATCGTAAAAGTATCTGAAAAGTTGCCAGTTTGAATCAATTTCAATGGAAAACATAATTATAGAAATAATTATTTGCTATTACTGGACAACTAATTGGACAGAATAAATAATAACTCAAGGACCAGTACGACTTCATTTCGAAAAATATGTTCAGCGTCGTCGTTTGTTTTCCAAATATAGTCATAATGGAAACAATAATAATTGTTTTGTAGTCAGGTAAGTATCGTTATATCTACCCACAATAATGTATCAATTATATATATGACATCATTCACATAATGTGTCGCTTATCGTAGAAATATCACATTTATATTTATTCAGGGTGAATAGATATATTTTCAAGTGATTCCTATTGACATTCAATTCAAGAAAATGATTCACATATCCTTCAAATTATGTTCAAGTCAATTCTTGTATTGGTTGATTTACTTTTATGTAGTTTACAGTAATGAGCGATTCAAAATTTTTTTTTGACTATTCAAGCAGTGACTCATGCAATATATATATTCGTTGGACAATAAATATGAAAATCCTGTAATGAACAAATATTAAATTTAGATTATACATTGTGACAATTTGAAAATCTACAGAGTGCAAAATATGATAAAAAAAATTGTCAATACAGTTTCTAGGAAAGAAAGGTAAAAATAAAATGACTCCAAAAAGATAAATGTCTCCGTACAGGATATAATAATGTCAGGACAGACAAATCCGCTATCTGCTTCGATAAGTTTGTTGAGGGTTAAAATGGACACCAATAAGTCTTGGCATAGTGATAACACGCTATCATCTGAACAATATTGGCCAAAGTTCATGCAGAATTTGAAAATGAACAACAAAACAATGGAATGCACTTCGAAATTCAAATAATTGACATTTCCAACAAATTTGTAGTAAAACAAAACTTCATTGAGTTTTGATTTTGAGGTGAAGTTTTACAATTATTGATGAAATTGATACCATTATAATTTATATCATTGAATAGCATTTTTCAATGATGTATCACAAGTGGGGTTTGCTGTTCAATTTACTCTAGTTGAGGAAGGTGGAGCCTAGGGGGTTGATGGGAGTGAGTTCTTGTTCAAGTCATGTCATTCTCCCCTTCCTATTCTAGAAACGATTTCGAGAATTTTTTATATTAACTTTTGTTTGTGATATATAGTATATTTTTTTTTAATAATCACACCGTATAGTGACTTCACACACACACTAGATTGCAATCACACAGTCGTTGTTACGAGGATTAACAAAACTGCTTTTACAAACGACCTCTAGGTGACACTACTAATATGTGACATAACTGGTTGTTGCAAATGATTCAATGGTTTAACTCACCCTGAATTCATTTCATACAGCTCGCATCATAAGTGTTACCCCCCTAATAACTCGTTACTGGACTCTTGTTAGAAAAATCCCCGAGACACATCAAAATTTGATTTCTACAATGTACATTTGAGTATGAACAGTTCACCCGTAATTTGATTCCTTACTGGACGGGAGCAACTCATTCGAAGAATTTAAATAGCATGGGGTGGTGAGTAATAACTCATTTGATAAGGGGTTTTATTAGCTATTCAACCGTACCAAGGAATGGACATCTGCTACAAGAGTTGTGATTGTTTAAGAATAACCACGTTTGAAGTAGTCCAATCACCCTTAGAAATGAAAATTAGACCCTGAATGATATCGGTTTTGGTTCAGATGTCAAGTGAGACGTATTTGTCATTTGCGTATATGTTAACTGCACGTTTTTGTAGGTGGTTGAGGATAAATAGTCAATACAAAAAACTGATGTAGACAAAATTAGATCATCAGATCTAACTCCTTTAGATTTCTTCCTATGGGGTTACCTAAAATCTAAAGTCTGCGAGACTTAGTGCCGATCTATTTAGAAGTTGCGTGCACGGATTACGGAAGTGTGTGCAACAGTTACTCGCGATACTTTGCTAAGCGTCAGGACTGAAACAGGAGGTCAACGGAAAACATTTTGAACATTTACTGTAATAACAGTGTTTGTTTAGTTGCCTTCCTGTTTGTAGTGTAATTCTTTGCACGGTTGAATAAACACCCTTTCAAATGAGCTATCACTCATTAAACCATGTCACATTAACATCGTTCAGTCTATCTATAGGGTTATTATTCTTTTATGGCTCGACTTTCAGTACATATTCTAGCTCCGGACACATCAAAAGAAGCATAGCGAAACATGTGTTACATTTTTGTTAAACTTTCAACTCCGAACCATGGACAAATCGTTTTAAATTTTGTCATGCAAATGATGGAAATCAAAATTGAAGGATACCACGTTACATACATTATCAACACCTCAGACCATTATTATTTTCGTACTTGTGAAATTTTCAAAATGATTCTGCGATTTATGTTCAATCAGCTACCGACAAAAATTAGAATAATCGTGCGAAACAATCAGATTAGATTCCCCTTGAAAATTGATATCCAATCAACCAATCGCTTTTGAACCTATTCACCGGTATCCAACTCTATCATTTCGATATAAATTGCCTTCCACCGCTAAGTACTTTTATCGATGGGATAACCATCATCGAATGAACCCTCAATTAACTCGAAAGTGTTTCCAATTACTTCGCTCCTAATCTTACCTGTAAATCGGTAAGCAGCTGATTATGTAAATCGAAGAAGTCTTTAGACATAGGCGAATCGCTACCCATATCTCGGTGGCCTTGGAGGAACGCCTCCGCGATGGTCACCAGCCAAGTATAGATTTCATTGTGTCGCTCCAAGAAGTTGTTGAGCGCCGTATTAATCCTGATATTCTCCTCTCGGTGGGCGGTGCACAAGTTATCGAGGGTTATTTTCTTGTTTTCAAGTTCTTCAACCATATGTCTTACTCCTTCTGTGCCGACCGTGTTGCTGCCTGCTACGTCCAAGATGGCGTATCCTTCTGCTATGGGTGACGAAGTGGCGTCTTCGATGGCTCTCGCGCACTGAGAGTGAAGCTGTGCTAGCTGAGGGGAGGTTTTTGGTAACTCTGTTGCTGTCAGCTGGATTTCTAGTTGGTCCAATTTGGTGATCACCTGCGGGATTAAGGAAGTATCGCATTAGTGATTTGGTGTTCAAGTTGTCTCTGCGATTATTATCAATAATTTCACTCTGTAATGTTAATACTCGTTTGAGTAAGTTCCCAAAACGTAAGTAACGCTCTACTTTTTGAATTATGTACAGCCCCAAATTCAATTAACAATTATTGAAACGTCTTATCTAGGATTATCAGATGTACAGAGAGAAAAAGTTGATCTGTTCAAGTGAGACAGTTACTGCAATATGTGTCACACAAAGTATGATTAAAATTGAAAATTTCTGCCATGAAGCTAGGCGAAATCTGATAGTTTTAGATTCTGAAATGAAATAGCCATTTCTGCAGATGTTTGAATTGAAATAATGAACAGACTTGCAGTTGTAAAAGCAGAAGACATTTGCGGGTTCCTGAGTTACCAAGACAAAACAAAAACGTTCGCCCTAACCAGTACTTTCACCATCATAACTGGCCAGATCTTATCGGTTCTTTTCTGAAAATGAACCAGAATTGGTCTCATATCAGAAGAAAATTGGAGTTTTATATTTATGCAAGATAATGTCACTCTCTACATCGATGAGATTGATAAGGAACACCACGAAACAATGAAATACAAGGAATAGAGGACGTGGATTCCATAGTAAATACATATTAGTCCAAAAAAAGGATCAGAGCGTGGCGGGGTGATGCTGGTCATATATCATTCCAACATGATCACACGTCAGTTCTGTTGTGTATATTCATATTGTTACATAATTGATCAATACATAATCAGCTCCTGATGGAACTTCGAGTGGTTCCTTTTAGATATTTGAATTATAGATTGAAGAATGAAAAACTTTGTTCAGATAAAGAAAATTCAAGGTGCAAGATCCCCACCTTGAACTTTCCCATAAGAGAATTACACCTGACGATTAGATTAAAGCATGCAAGACTTTTTCGCTTCCGGTTTGGATGAATCATCGTGTGAGTGTAAGCGGTTGCTGTCGGAGCAGTTATCTTCTTCTCTTGATGCAGATTTTGCTTTTGCTGCTCAAGAATTTGATGCCTGGCTAATTCATGGCATATTTTGCCTTAAGGAAGCGAGGAAGGACCTAGCTGCACCGTTTAACCTCCTAGGTTCATAAGGATCAGGAGTTTGGGTGCTAAGAAGCTCTGACTCTCATTCCGAATTCATCGGGAGGTCAGTTGAAGTCATTTAGTTAACGTCTATCTCCTCTGAAAACACAGTTATCGATTATTTGGTTACTTCAGGGTCCATAAGCAATTACTTTAGGATCCATGAGCTATTACTCATGGGACCTTTTGAAGAAAGAAGGTTCATTCCGGTGGCTCAGAGAAGTGATCTTGATACTCTCATATCCAGCTACGGAAACGGAAGCTACGAGGAAACAGTCACTTAATAGCCCAATTTTTTTCAACATCTCACATATAAAACACAGCAAGTAGTAATTCAAAAATTGATCAGTTGTGGAGTTGAAGTAAATTTCACTGAGTCAGATAGCTAAGTGATTCATGAAAATATTGAGTCCGAAAATATTGCGTAACCTTAGTTAGAACATGGAAGCTAGAAACGATATGAAGAAACATCTGGGTTATGAAGAAATAAATATCGTGATGTNTAAACCACATTGTATTTCTTGTAACCAATAGTACATCTTCCAGAAACTGAGGTAGCTTTTGTTTCAAAAAGTTGCGGTAGGTATACCTCCCCGGTAAGTCTTCCTGGCAGAAATACCGTTCCAATTAGGGAGTCACATACAATTCCCACCCAGCGAAAACTGATGTTGAATGCGATCTTTAAGCACCTCATGTGGATTTTCTTCAGCCCAAACATGGTTATTGTGGATATTGTAGGATTTTAACCAATGTGTGCAAAATATATTGACATACTGCAATACGTGGAAAAAAATCTGCAGAAAAAGCTGAATTCGTTGTATGTGGTATAGGTACAACAAATAGTCTCTAAGAACGTTCCAAATCTTCCCGTTACTTACATTTGAAGTATTTGTAATTTATCGAGTAGACGTACTTGGATATTCTTCTATCTTCTAGTTCTACCAGTCTCATTGTCATTTTCCTGGTCACCTATTCCGCTTCAATGCTCCTGTTTTACGAAGTCGTTGATGTATACTTTGGAAGGTTTTTTTATTAGGCACATTACGATTAGGAAATCATCCACTGTTCAATCGCTTAGCTTCCAATGAGTTGCCATCAGCAAGTCCATGAATGAAATGCATGTCAGCCATATTTGCGTTACTATAGCCATTCAAGATAGAGAATTTCACTAACAAGACTTCAACTATTGAACACAGAAAATGCACGTTAAATAGACAAAGTCAAACAGTTTCAATCTATTTGATACGTACAAATGATCACTTACATACTGTTTAAAATCTGTTTTTCCGTTAATTAGCTGTCGCCCTCATACGAACGACAACTCTCAGAAGTTGAGAAACTTGTGCGAGCTTAAGGACTAACGAGATCTTACCTTTCAACTTGTGATTTCTAACACGGTTGCAGAATCATTCCAGCTTCAACCAGATAAATTCTCTTGGGAAAAATATCTGTTCGAAGCGGGAATCGAACCCACGGCCTTTCGTTCGTGAGTCGGGCGCACTACCACCGCGGCCAATTCCACTATTCAAATTGAATTTCTGCAGCCGTTTGTTGCAGTGATCGGAATGTTGTTGATAGGTGCCAACGGAATTGTTAGATTTTTTATTACTTGGTAGGTTCAGTGTAGTCCGCTATATTTTTATTTCGGCTACGTTAATAATTTCAAAATTTCCAAATTGTTTATTGTCGAAATTCTTTTTCGCCCTATCAGAAACCATCAAATGATAAAATATCCTTAGAATAGTCCAAGGAATTGTCCCTTAATTGTTTGCCCATTATTGTTTAGTAAACAACCTGCTGAAAACGAATCGGTAAAAAAGTGAAAAAAATCAGGCAAGCAACTGCCACCCCGTGCCTATTCCATTTTTTGAATGTAAAGAAAGGCGAAAAGGTGTCATGCACATTACACAACACAACAAAGTTTTTGTTTCGGGGTTGAATTTAGATGATTTTAATGTATTTCCACGTGTTAAAACCGAAAGTGACCATAAAAATTATATATTAGCTCTTGTTTTCAAGATATAGTATCATTATATTATATATATGTATATTGAGTTTTCAACAAATGAAANACTTAAAATATTCTAAAAGAAACATAACAATATTGTTTTATGTACTTTCACTTTTCACGTATAGTATAACTACTCTTTAAGACTAAGTACTGTGTATCTCAAAAACCGGAGCTAATAAAAATTTTTCATTGTTATTTTCGTTTTTATCACCCCAGATTAGTAGAAATTGACTAATTTAGTGTAGGAAACATTCAAAAAATATTTTTTTGTTGTGTTGTGTTATTGGTGTAGAACATGTTTGCTGTTTACATGACCATTAAGCAATCTGTTCCGTAAAACCGATTGGTGGGTATTCAACTAAAAGCGTGAGAAACAGTTCGTCAAGCCATAACGGTTCGTGACACCACCACCGTTTGGAAATTTCACACAAACTGCTGAAATTACGCAAGAAACGATTACGCTTCAGAGGCAAATACAAACAGCGTCTCGTTATCGTCGAACGATACCCATCATCAATTATACTAACCGTCTGTGCGGATCTGAAGAACGCAATTACGCGTTCCAGTAACGATTCTCTGTTCTGCAGGTCGGTGAGATAATCGGACGTGGCCGAGAGGACGATGTACGATTGGGCGGTGGCCTGCTCTCCTGCGAAACATCCTGCTGCCACCAGTTGCTCGGTAGCTTTAGTTATCTTCAAGGCTCTCTCCTGTAGCTGCTTTGCCTCCGGAAGCAGTTTCTTGTGCTCGTGAAGGAGCAGTTCGGCACTGGATGAAGAGTCACCTGGAAAGAGAAAGTTCATGAAGCAGAGTTGCAGGATATACTTCTCTTGATGGGTAGAATTGGAACGCCAAGCGTTAAATGAATCTATCTGAAACATCTTTCTCGCACCAGAACTGAAACACTGTCTCTCGACTCGCATTTCGATAATCAAAACCGAATCCTACGACTATGACAAAGCCATTGATACATAACTGAATCGTTATCTCTGGTGATGAGGCTTATTAAATGAGTTCATTAAAATGAGTACTCCAGTATTGATTATTTTATTATTTTGTTATTGTATCTTGTATCCTAATCTATACAGGGCTTTTCATGATGAGCGTTAATTAGCCGTTTCTGACAAACTATGCAACGGATCAACCTGAAAATTCCACGGTATGCATAAGTCAATATGACCCACACGCCTAAAATATTTTAGACGAAGCGGCGTTGTCGCTTCTACTATAAATCTAAAGCAAATGGAACTTCAAACGTTCAAGCCAGTCTCTATATACCTACACAGTAGGTTTAATGGACTGAAGCCTATCAGAAAACAACTACTCCCCTGGCTAATACCACGAAGGGCGTTGGATTATATC